TTGGTGGACCAAAACCCGAGTAAGCAATAGAGTACACAGGAATTTCCCGGATTGAGGAGAATCTCAGCCAGCTGCTTTGACATTTTATGTTCTTCCATTATTTGTAGCCCCGATTGCTATGGTTCCGAGTTTGCTCTTGGCTCCTCAAAGTGATCCTCAGAAACTGCTCCTCTTGGCAAAACTTAAAATTAACGTAGCTTGCCATTTCATGTGGATGTTAAACGGTGGGTTTCTTCCCCACTCCCTCCCTGATGAACAGCCATGCAATGTCATGTTCCTTATTTTTTATAGTCTGCCTGTACGTCAATTTACCATTCTTGGTGGCAATTTTTTAAAAATGACAGGAGTATTAGGAAGGTGGCAGCCTTTAAATTGATTTTTTTATTCCGAAGGTATGGACAAACAGAAAAGTAAGGAATCTATGTGGCATTTTTGTGCAGTTTAATGTATCAAAATTATTTATCTTAACTACCATTGTGTTGTGGATTCTTTTTGGGGGTAACATATACACCTAGGGATGGACTGGGCTTGAGGATCTATAGTGGTTTCCTCATACATAGGGTACTCATCGTAGAAGGTACTCTGTAGTATAATAGTACTATAGAAAATGTTTGATAACCAGAAAAATTTGAAATGAGGATCAACACAGAAAGCAATATAATATATAAGCAGAATGTAGACATAATACTTTTGGGAAAACTGTCTAATAGGTTCTCGAACTTCTATAAAAAAGTCAAATAAGTTCTTATAGGAGGCTCTGTCCGGCCGTTGTGATTAGTGGTGGTTTTTGGTGGAATTTTTTGATGAATTTTTTTAGCATCTTATTCATCAAGTCTAGTTTACTCATACCAAATTTCAGCTAAAACTTCAACCGGGAAGACATTCAAATTAATTCTTGAAGATAACCGCGCATTTAATTGCACAATTATTTTCAGGAATTAATTTGAATGCCTTTCCGATTGAAGTTTTAGTTGAAATTTGGTATGAACAAACTAGAGTTGATGAATAAGATGCTCAAAAAATTTCATCAAACATTTCCATCGGGAACCGCCCAAATCGTGACGGCCGGACAGAACCTCCTATATAAGAGCTTATTTGACCTTTTTATGAAAGTTCGAGGACCTATTTGACAGTTTTCCCAATATTTTAAAAACTTGTTCTTCATAAAATCACTAAAATAATGAACATAAGCAGTTTGGGAGAATTCTTGAAGAACACGGTGAGATTTACAACTTTTACAAAAATTAATTGGTTACTAATAGGTGTATAAGTAAAAAACACGGTGAGAAAAGGTTTTAATAGTGTTTTAATTGTGTATAAGTAAAAAACACGGTGAAAATAAACTAAAACGTTGCAGATTTGCTCCATTGTGTCGATCTCAACTGAATCTATAATAAAATTACAAGTTTTTTCATAGAAGTAGGGAAATGATCTTTAAACCTATGAAGCACAACAATTAAATTATAAGTACTATTCCAACGAATAGGAAGATCTTTAGGAAAAACACAATATTTAACATGTTTAGATTTCAATTAAGCACGTCATTGAATTTTAAGTTGAATACTACCCCAAATCATTCTAATAGCCTCCTTAACTTTCTCCATCACATTTCCTAATGCAGGTAAGCCGTCTTTAACACATAAATTAATAATATGACAAATTGACATGTATAACGCTGATGAAAAAATCTACTCATCAAATTAAAAGGACCACATAACTCACGCCATCTAGATATAACAACAGTATTATTAATGGCATTATCAAAACTAATAAAAAACACCTCATCAATCAAATTATATCCAATTAAAATACATTCCATGATAATATAAATATTATCACTTGTGTGTCTTTCATTAAAATCTCGAAAAGCGAGAACTCGTTTATGTTTTGCCAATCATCATCAATCCAATGTGTAGTAACACCCAAATAATACAAGTGATGATATTATCTTCCAATATATCACCACAAACAATCACACACCCATTAAAATTTGCAAAAATAAAAAAAAAATGAATTAAATTTTCCTTTTTCCAAAACATATTGTTTAATAACACGTTTTTAATTGTTTTGCGGCTATAGTTTCTAAATTGTGGATCTAAAAACCCTTATGCAAATTACTCATACGGTCCACTTTTGTGTGCTACATATCATTTATGTCTTAACTATTTTTCTTTTTCATTTTTAACCTTTTGTGTTTTCAATTACTCCGTATGTTTTATTATTTCACTTTTGTCTAATCTTTCTATTCTACCTATTGAGTTTTTTTCCGGAATAATGTTAATTAAATAAATAATTCCCAAAATACTGTGGGGTTAAGAAAAATACTGCTGGGGTTAACCACGGTTAAGCAAAGCCGCCACTCGAAGTGGCGTCTTTTCTACAGCTTCACAAAAGACGCCACTTGGAGTGGCGGCTCTTCTACTTCTGTATGAAAGCCGCCACTCCAAGTGGCGACTCTTGTGTTAACGAACCTACTGCAACATTATTTAATACAACTAAACCTAAATTACCAGAAAATCTGCTCATCACAGACTCACAGACCATTCCACTCAAAAAAACAACCAAACATATGATTTACTAAGACAAAATACACCCGAAACACAAAACGAATCAATGAAACTACATGACAACATACATCCAAAACACAAAACGAATCAATGAAACTACATATTATGAAACTTTCACAAAATGAATCATTGCACCACAAAATTGAGTATAAACCATAAAAGGTATAATAAATCTGGTGTCTCACAAAATGATTCGATCTGCTAGTGCATGCTACAACTTTCACACAATAATTTAAATACAAAGATCATAAGTCAACGTGATCATCATCATCATGAAGTTCATGTGGCTGTGCTCGGGGACGCCTGCGCTGGTTACGAGGCTGAAGAACAACTCTATCACGTCGGACTGCCTGAGAAGACCCTGTTGCGGATGTAGATGCGGTGGAATGCTGAGAGGTGGCCATATATCCATAATCCACTCGACCCAATACATCAGCGCACAGTGAAACAATGCCTGAACAAGCGTCATGGTATCCCTGTACATCTACCGCCTCATCAAGTATAGCAGTCCCTCTGTCATGGATGCTACGCAAAGCCCGTGTCTGTAATGCAAACATGGTTATTGGTGAAAAACACATGAATAAATAAATAAAGATATTTCATTTACTATATTGTTTACCGTCATATGAAGAGCGACTGAGCTAGGCTGGTAATGATTAGTGGGTAAACGAAAACTGGGAGAGATAAACACCCGTGTGATGGTGTAATACCATCTCATGTAGTCTACAGAAGCTGTGGGGACTAATGATGGGATCCCGTCCACTATATACGCCGCTCTCTCATCCCACATAGTGATATACTGAATATGGCGCATCCCCCAATCTTCAGTGTGCTTCCCCCGTCTATCAATCTTGTGCAAATTCACATATGTATCACAAGGTCCGGGAGTAACCTGCTGCAACCCGAACTGGCGTAGTACGCGATCAGGAAAGTGATGCTCCACTACATCAAAACATATCAAGGGCACACGTGCTCGCCATATCTCAGTGTGCTCTCGGGCAACAGGAGGCAACAGCCCTAGAATCTCATCAGTGTATGACATCCACATCATCTATAATATAAAATTATGTTAGACCATGGTTTATAAAAATATAAAACAAAGTACTTACATTTAATGATATAAATGATATACCTGATCATCACACAAGCGATCTAAAGCATCTCGGTAGTATCCTAATCCAACAGCGGATGACGTGCGCGTGACATGAGCAAATAGCCATCTGACACACAGTAATGTATAAGAATATAAAAGGGATTCACGTACGTCATACAAAAAAATCATAAACATACCTACGACCCAAAGGATCCTCGCCACGAACATGATGTGGCCCAAGTACAGCGTGCAGATCCATATCATCATCAAGAGGACCACCATCTACCCCATGATATCACAGTATGACAGGTCTGCCGATATGAATGTGCTCCCATGACCATAGCTGTATGAGCAATAAAAACCCACCCATCTCTCCACCGTCACTATAGCAACCTCGACATAACTGCCGATATAGGTATGCTAAAGTCGCACTACCCCACCTATAAACTGCAGCTACATCAAAAGACTCTAGAATGGGTAAATACAAGACATGCACCTCATTCCCGCTCTTGTCCGCAAATGTGGAAGCTCCCATAAGCATCAGAATGTAGGCTCTCGCGTACTGCTGCACAACATCGTCATCAGCATCAGCAGGTAAACCAACAAAATGCTCTCTCAACCAAGCCATCCTCAAGGTAGACCCCCGAATATCTGTCCCAGGGTGTGGCCGTACTCCCAACAATCTGTGTACCAAATCAACCCACAGTCTACATGCAGTCCCAGTAACTGCATGACCCTTGATCGGTAGACCTGCCAATACAACCACATCTCCTAATGTGATCGTGACCTCACCCACCGGTAAATGGAACGTGTAAGTCTCCTGCCTCCAACGCTCAAGTAGAGCGGTAAGTAATGCTCTATCTATATGCAGAGTCGAAACTAATCTGTGAACACCATAAAACCCAGCTAATCGAACGTAATGTAGAATCCTATCGTCCACCCCCGTGTGGAATATACTGCGTAGGTGCTCACGACACCTATCTACCTGAACATCCAGGCCACGCCACACAATAAAGAAGACCTGGTTTATTTGGTATTTGAGGTCTGGTATTTGGTGTTTGGAATTTGAGGTCTGGTATTTATTGGTATTTGGTGTTCCAGGTCTTCTATAACACAATAAAGAAGACCTAGTTTATTTTTGGCAGAATAGGTCTGGTATAAGACCTCAAAAAGACCTCATGTATTGAGCAATATAGACCTCCATTTCTTTCGGCAGAACATGTTTTTTTCACCTAAACAACACCTCAACAATACCTAAACTGAAATTGTAAGTTTCATACATTTTTGTTAGGCATTCCTTGGCACTCAACACTTGTATAATCAAAGTATAAGATAGGAAACACACAACAACAATTAAGACAAATGAATTCCAAATACAAAGTCATTTCATACTAATGTGAAACCAAGTGCATACATACTAAAGAAGCTACTCCATTGCCCATCAATGGTGTTCAAGATTACAATAGAATACTTTTTTACATGATTAACCTAAAATCATACATATGAGTACAACAAGGGCACACAACATCAGTACAATCACATAATTCCTCTTCAAATTTGCTCCTCTATGTAACTCCAAATGTTCTGCAATCTCTGTACGGTTAAGCTCTTGAACCTCAAATTCCATGTTTTGTTTAAAGGTATGCTCATATTCTCGAATTGGTGTTTCATTAAACTCCCCACCTCCAGTTATGGCCTCCCCTGCATGTATGGCCTCCTCTAGTCCCATTATTGTACTGTGAAGCCTTCTATTCTCCATTTTTAGATCATTGATAACATGTTTGGCCCTATCTATTAGAGGTTCATCATGCCATTCAAAGAACCCACAATTATCCTTCTGCAGATATTAATATGAAAAACATCAAAATGGGATAAATGACACCATTTTAAAAAAATTTATAATAAAATACCTCGCCCCACCACCATATTGCGTCTCAATGTTCGTTCCACACTGGACTGAATCAATGGAGGATGATTTCTGTATCCCTAAAGACCTTGATGGTGAAGACCTATCTCCCATTGCTATTGTTTCCTCTGCGCATATGTCTGCATAATAGGTTGGGGATATTGAAGTAGGGTTCTTGGATATAATTTTGGGGGTCTTTTTATGTGAAGTGTTAGTTAGGGGGGATTGGGGAAACGGTCATTTAACGGGCCAGTTAGAGGGTGGTTAATAGTTAAGGGAAAGGTTTTATTTTGTGTTTTTTTGTCCACCATAAACCTCAGTGTCATATACGAGATTCATTAAAAACCTTGGTGTCATTTTTGGCCCTTTTCCCTATACTATAATATAAATGTGAGCACCTAAAAAATATTTGAAAAGTTTGATGACTACCCTTAATTTCTAAAAATATATAGTTTAACGAACATGGTTAGAACTATACTCCCAAGATGATTATTAATAGAATACTTATTGTATCTGATTGTTTATCTTTGCAACAATATATTTGCAGATTGAACATGGCCTGTACCTAGGCATGGACCCGGTCCGGAATCGGGTTAACATTGTTTGGGCCCGAACTAGGTCTGTTTTTTCGGTTTTGGGCCTAAGACCGGCCCTACCCGTCCAAGAGGGGTACCCCAATGCAGTTCACGGATTTGGGGACCGAACCGGGTGGTTCCGATCCCAATATTTCAGTTCCAATTGGGTTCAGAATAGAGACCGGGCCGATCAGGTAATCAAAACCAGACTCGAAAATAACTAGGTCAGACTCGGGCTTCATCCAAAAATGGAAAGGACCGGGCGGTCTCGGCCAGAACCGGGCCAACCCGGATCCATGCCTACGTGCAACCATCAGAATTGCTTAGCAACTTTGTGCCTCTTTTTGAAGGTTTTCTATTTTAATCCTAAGAAACAAAATATTTAAATAATATTTACTAAGAAAAATTGTTTAAAAGACACAATTTGTCCAAGAATTGGATACATATAAAAACACGTGACAACATCATAAAATGTTTTCATTCAATTAACTGGTGATATAAAGATTTGAATTCAATAAAAAAAAACTGATTATTCAAGAATTTAATAGTTGTTCCAAACAAATGTATTCATAAAGATACACGTTTGGATATACAAACATTCTTTCAATTAATTAGTGGTGTGAATTCAGTAAAATAAAATTTGATTCCTAAAATCATGTTCTTTAAACAAATTGAAATATGTGGCATGTAGGGCTGGATTTGGGCCGAGTCGGGTCCGGGCCGGGCCTAGGCCTGGGCGGGCCGCCGGTTCTGTATAGGTGGGCCCAGAACCGGCCCAGGTAGCCACCGGGTCCGGGCCGGGCCTCGGGTCAATTTTTTTTCCCTTTTCCTAATTAACCCCCCCCCCCCACCCCCCCCCCCCCCCACCCCCAACCCCCCAAACCACCCCAAATGACCCAATATACCCAGCCCGCCCCGAAAAGTTCAAAAAAATTGAAAAGCCCGGAACCGGGCCGGTTCGGCTTTTGGGTGACTCAAACCCGCACCGGGAACCCCCCGGGCCGGGCCTACCCAGACCGATCACTGGCTGGGCCGGTTCAGCACAATACCAGTCCCGGGCCGGTTTCGGGTCGGGCCACCCGGCCCGAGTCCAGGACTAGTGGCATGATAAGGTGCACCTACCTTTTATTCCTCTGACTTCACAATGCTATACTCGGAATATGTGTAAGTCGGGAAACAACTTTGAAAACAAAAAAACTAAACAATGTGATGCTAAGGCTCGCAAAACTTATCAAGGATCAAGTCAGGGGTGTTTCGAACTGATTCTGCTTCTACTTTCTTAAAGCAGAAGCAGAATCAGAATCAATGTTTAGAAGCTGGTCTCTCCTAACTTCTAAAAAAACTACTTCTAAGAGGAGTAATAAGAGCACCAGAAGTACTTTTGCACTTTCACCCAAACACTCCAATTTCTGCTCCCTGAAGGAGCATAATCAATTTTAAGAATCAGAACCAAACATCCCTCAATCCCATAAAGGTTTAAACACCATCCGGATTGATTAATTATCATTTAGACCTGTCCACTAAAACAAAGAGATGTAGCCTAATAACAACTTATTTTGAAATTTTAAAGGACAAAAAATCAAATGCTTACACGACTTATTGTTTAATTCTTTGTGAAACTTTGTAGGCTGATACAAAGATGCGGTTTTATTATTCAGTGCATTACATTACAGCTGATCTGGCGATAGTTTTTCACAGTAGATCCATCCATCACACACAGTGAGTGTGGATCAAGCAAGCAAAATTGAGTTCTTGAAGAGATTTGCATGGTCCGAGTGGGGTTCTTCTCTCTGAACAACACTGATTCAATGACGGGTGTTAGGAGCAGCAATCCAGAAAATAGAAATCTGCAAATTTTATTTCTCCTAAATCTTGTGGATATTGTAGTAGCCCACGTCCTCCTTCAAGCTGTCCTTCCAGTCTTCAAATTCAGATCCACCAAACACTACCTGCTTAATTCCTATACAGCTGTTTAAGAAAACACAGACAGAGTATGATTACCTGCTGCCATATAAAAAGGAAAGGATATCATCCATAAACAGATTGAAATACTATTGTTTAGAACTTTAGATCAGGGATGATATTGCTGTTGGGTGTGTTTCAAAAAACAAAGAAAATTAATTAATAAAAATTAATTAAATAAAATGACTTAAAGGAAAAACAAGAAATGAGAGGAAGCAGAATAAGCCAAAGCTCGTGCTACGCACGATTTCCTTAAAACGTATTTGTTGCCTCCCGGGGTGCTAGGAGCATTGCAACGATCGTTTCTCAGGATACGATGACTACGAACAACAGTTTAGCACTCAAACTAAAGTTCCAACGAACGTGAACAAAGGCTGAACACAAGGAATTTTCAGAATGCTAGCAGGGGTTTCGAGAGCTCAAAGGTGCGTGAGTTCGTTTGTGAGTTGTGTCTTGTTGTAAATCACCTGCCAGCTACTTATAGGAAGGATTTGGAGGTGTGTTAATGGAGGTTTAATGGATATGAACGTTGGTAATCAATGTCCAGCTCGTTGGCATTGATTCGTCCAGAAAACCATCCATTTATTGCAAAGGAACGTTAGGCATTTATGGTGTTGTAACGCCTCAGTAGCAGGCTGCTTCCGGCCGTTCAACACCCATGGAGCAATAGTCTGCTGCGCAGGGAACTGCTGGAGCAGTGGCCTCCTGCGGAGGGAACTGCCGAGCTTACTGCGGACATAGAAGTGGCCTGCTCCAACCTGGAGCAAAAATAGGAACTCGTCGGAAGAACAAAAATTAACGTTTTTCTTTAGAAGATAGATTTTTCGAACGACATTTGTGTCCGCAGGTCGCCCGCGCACATAAGTCGGGCTTTTTGTTCTCCGGTTTCGGGATTTGATTCGCACCCCCCCGCGCGCGTGGATAGAGCCTTTACCCTAAGGAATCTTAACTCCTTAAGGGGGGTTTCCCTTTATAAAGGGTTCAAATGCCCTTGGGTTTTCCGGTATGGGAAAAACCAAACTAGAAACCCATCTTTTCCTAATTTTCTCCATTCCAACGAGTGAACTTCGAGAATCAATTTCTCATTCACCCGTTATCCGTTTTGAGCATACCATATATCGAATTGTAGCCCTAAGCAAGGACAATCCGAAACCACTTTGACCCGACCCAAATCGGAAGTGGACCCCACTCAAAAAATTGCCCCAAAATGACCATTTAATGCAATTTACTAACACATTTTCCAACAATTGCTAGTACAAATGTGCGTGAAATTAATCATTGTCAAAGACTTGCCTCACAAGGAAAAGAGAAAGAGAGATGTGAAGGTAAGCTTACTCAGAACTTATTTGTGTCAATGCATTGATGAGTACATCCAAAAGTAGCGGTTCACTTGTCCCAATATCAACCCTGTTCAAACAAATGTAGTCAATTAATCATAAACCGATACCATATTATCTCTCTTAAACACATTATAAAGATCCCTTCACTGGCATATTTTCAAGCAGAGACCCCCCCCCCTCCCTTGTTTGGTTGTCCAGGTATTCTGTAGAGGATCATGCTGAAGGGATTGTTAAGTGTTTTAAACTTGTTCATGTTATTTAACATTTGTTTAATTGTTACTTGTAACATTATTTTAAGTGTGTGTGTGGTACTTTGTACGTGTGCATGTCAGTAGATAAGGTCAAGCCTTACATGCACGCACATAGGAGTGTTTTTAGGAAGTGGTTGCGTGAGTTGGTTACGTGGGGTGTGTTTTATCCTTTATATGTGTGCGTTGTTTAGGGGTTTTTCATCCAGATCAAAATGGATTTTTCCCCCCAAGTGAATGAAAAGAGAGTTAAAGAAAAGCAGACTCTCAATTCCCTTTTGTTTGTTCATACACGCATAACATCATTCAGTAGTGTTTCCTAGGCATTCTTATTGCTTACATTTGGTATCAGAGCCATTTGATGCTCCATCATGTCTCGAGAAACACAAGAAGCTAAAGGCGGTAGAGAGAAAGGTGACACCATCACTCTCAAGCATCCCATGCTCACCACAACTAATTATACTGCATGGGCTATAAAAATGGAGGTGTTCATGATGGCTCAAGGTGTGTGGGATGTTGTGGTAAGTGAAGGTGCTGCAGAGGTGCGTAAAGACAAAATGGCTTTGGCTGCCATTTATCAGGACACCCTGCTTCAAATTGGGGCAAACAAAACAACTAAAGAGGCATGGAGCATGCTGAGAACCATGAATCTTGGGGCTGAAAAAGTAAAAGAGGTGAGGACTCAATCATTATGGAGAGAATTTGAAGGCCTGAGGATGAGTGATGCAGAAAGTGTTGATGCATACTCTGCAAAGCTGCAGAGGTCTGGGAAACTCAGTGAAAGAAGAAAAGGTAGTGAAGAAGCTACTGAGATCTGCTGCTCCTAAACTAATGCAAATTGCTTCCACAATTGAAGAATTTGGAGACTTAAAAACCAAAACTATGGAAGACATAATTGGGTCTCTTAAGGCTCATGAAGAAAGGTTGGTAGTCTCCAAAGATGAGGACACTGTACTCCTCACTCAAGCTGAATGGAGAGCAAAGGAAGAAAGCAACTCTCAGAAGAAGCCTGTGAGAGTTCAGGGAAGTTTCAGAGGAGGAAGAGGCAGAGGACGTGGAAGAGGTAGGGGTGGCAGTGTACAACAAAAAAGGAAATTTGACAAGTCAAAGATTAAGTGCTATAACTGTGAGCAAATGGGGCATTTTGCCTTAGAATGTCCTGTAGAAGAAAAGGAGGAACAAGCCAATGTCATAGAGCAAGAAGATGATGAGGAAGCTGCACTTTTAATGATTGAATCATGTGAATTGACTAAGTCACATGACTTGAAGGACACCTCGGAAGCAGGATGGTTTCTGGACACAGGAGCCAGCAACCATATGACTGGAGAGGGAGGTTGGTTTTCTGAGTTGGATCAATCTATGCAAGGGAAAGTGATGTTTGGTGATGGGTCCATGATCAATATACAAGGTCAAGGATCTGTGGTATTCAAATGTACTAATGGAGAACATTGGGTTCTTCCAAAGGTATATTACATACCAAGATTGAAAAGCAACATTCTGAGCATAGGTCAGTTTGATGAAAGTGGGGGTCAAGTGATTATCAAAGGAGGGGAACTGAAGGTCTATGACAATCATGACAGACTCTTAATCAAGGTTAAGAGACAACACAACAAGTTATTTGTTGCAAGCTTGAAGACTGTAGAGAAGGTGTGCTTGTTAACAAGCATGACTGACAAGTCATGGCTATGGCATGCTAGGTATGGGCATCTCAATTTTCAAGCATTGAAGAAACTCTTAACTCAGAACATGGTAGAAGGAATGCCTATTATCACTTGTGTGAATCAAGTCTGTGATGGGTGCATAATAGGCAAGCAACATAGAGACATATTCCCTCAGAAAACAAGCTTCAGAGCTCAAACCAAATTGGAACTTGTACATGGAGATCTATGTGGCCCCATCACACCATCCACACCAGGAGGAAACAGCTACTTTATGCTTCTAGTAGATGATTTTTCACGTTTTATGTGGGTATCTATACTCAAACACAAAGGAGAAGCACTGAATACATTCAAAAGATTCAAGGGCCTTGCAAAAAATGAAGTGGGAGAAAAGCTAAAGTGCTTCAGAAGTGACAAGGGTGGTGAGTTCAATTCTATTGAATTCAAGAATTTCTGTAATGAAAAAGGTTACAGAAACCAAACCATCATGGAAATGGTTAGAAGTCTACAAAAAAGTAAAAATATGTCTGCAAAATATTGGGGAGGAGTAAGAACCTCAGTATATTTGTTGAATAGAGCCCCAACCAAAAGTTTGGAAGGGATAACACCATATCAGATGTGGCATGGAAGAGTTCCTAGTGTGCAGCATCTCAGAGTCTTTGGTTGTATAGCTCATGCAAAAATTGTGGGTCCCCACCTCACAAAACTTGCAGATAGAAGCAAGAAGACTGTTCTAGAGGGAACCAAAGCCTACAGATTGTTAGATCCAAAGGAAGGCAGAGTTATAGTGAGCAGGGATGTAGTGTTTGAGGAGGATAAAGAGCGGACATGGCAAGACACACATGAAGGCAGCAGTTCAGGTAATGAAAACAGGGGGAGCTGACCACTCAACTCACTCAGGGGGAGAAGGAACTACATCATCACATCAATCATCTCAGGACTCTCCTCCAAGTACCCCAACATCCTCTGAAACCTCTGACTCAAGCACCATGTTACGGGCAGCTTGTGTGCAAGATCTCGTCACAGGCATTCGGGTGAGTGGGAGGGTGGACTGAGCTTTGGAAGGGTTGGCTATGTTTACTGTTTGGGCAGAAAACTAAGAAGAATATAATTATGCAAACTTTTATCAAGTTGGAATTTTTTGTTGAGAATTCCAGAAACTCCCTTAGACTTTTCTTGCTAAAAACTTGCATGCCTTTTCCCTGCATTCAACTGGCCTTTAAATAGGCTTTACAGAGCTTGGATTTTTTTTTTTTTTAAACCCAGTGGCAAACCATCCTAGGATGGGGTAAGGGCCGGGGAACACCTTACCTATTATTTATAAGATAAGGGAAGAAGGAAAATACAAGGTAGGGGGACTAGGCCAGGACCCACCCGAGAAGAACAATTAGATAACATAAGGAAAAGCAATAGCATCAAATTAAGAATATTGCTGAATCTGTTGGAGCTTTACAGAGCTTGGAAAATAAAATAAAGAAAACAATTAAACAGAAAACAATAACTCAAAGATTGCAATCAGAAAATGATATCTCAAATCTCTAAGGATCTCAAATCCCTGACAGTGACATGTCTATCAGATTTGTCTGATTTATTTGTCTCCCAGATTTGTTTGATTTTATTTGGCTTCCAAATCAGTTTGATTTGGCATTGAGATTTGCTGACTTTTATCTTTCTTTCTTTTACGGTGATACTGACACCCTGTGAATGCATCACACCAGTCATCACAACTACAGGTCTTTACAAGACATCTATGATTCAACCATAGAAGTGAATGAAGAGGTAAGTTTTTGCTTACTATCTATTGAAGAGCCCTCATCATATTCTGAAGCTGCAGGAAATCAGAATTGGAGAGAAGCCATGATGCTAGAGATAGATTCCATTTAGAAAAATGGAACCTGGGAATTGTCAGACTTGCCTAAGAATCACAAAGCAATTGGCCTTAAGTGGATTTTTAAACTAAAGAAAGATCGTGATGGAAAGATAATTAAGCACAAAGCCAGACTAGTTGCTAAGGGCTATGTTCAAAAGTATGGAGCGGACTATCAGGAAGTTTTTGCTCCTGTGGCTAAACTGGAGACCGTAAGAGTATTGTTGGCAATCTCAGCACTCAAACAGTGGGAGGTACATCACAATATCACATGGATGTAAAGACTGCCTTTCTAAATGGCAAACTAAAGGAAGAAGTATATGTATGCCAGCCAGAGGGTTTTGTGAACCCTAAATTTCCAAACAAGGTACTCAGATTGCATAAAGCCTTGTATGGATTAAAACAAGCTCCTAGAGCTTGGAATGAGAGACTGGATAAGTGCTTAAAGTCTTTGGACTTCACCAGGTGTGTTTCTGAGCACTCAGTATACATGAGAAGAACTGAAGAGCATATCATGATAGTGGGAGTCTATGTAGATGATTTGATACTTACAGGATCATGCTTAAAAGGGATCCATGATTTCAAGGATGAACTGAAGAAAAAATTTGAGATGAGTGATCTGGGACTTCTTTGTTATTATTTATCATCTAGGGATTGAAGTAAAGCAAGAGAAAGATTTCATAGCTCTCAGGCAGACTGGCTATGCAAAGAAGATCTTAGAAAAAATGGGGATGGCGGAGTGTAATCCTTGTTGTCTACCCATGGAACCAAGATGCAAGCTCAGTAAATATGATGGAGAACCAACTGTGGACCCCACAAACTACAGGAGCATCATTGGCAGCTTGAGGTATTTAACAAATACTAGACCTGATCTTGCATATTCTGTAGGCATTGTAAGTAGATACATGGAAACTCCAACTACCTCACACTTGAATGCTGTAAAGCAAATCCTGAGGTACATCAAGGGGACTGTGAGTTATGGTTGTAAGTATAAATGAAATCAAACAGGTGGAGGCTTGTTAAGTTACTGTGATAGTGACTTAGCAGGGGACTTAGATGACAGGAAAAGTACTACTGTGATCATTTACTTCCTTAATAGTAAGCCAATCACTTGGGTCTCACAAAAGCAGAGAATTGTTGCACTTTCTTCATGTGAAGCAGAATATATATCAGCAACTGGTGGGGCTTGTCAGGGAATTTGGCTCAGCAAACTGATTGAAAGCATACTGGATAATAAAGAAGAAAAGATAGTATTAAGAATTGACAACAAATCTACTATAGCCCTAGCCAAGAACCCAGTTCATCATGAAAGAAGCAAGCATATTGATACAAGGTATCACTTTATCAGGGAAAGTATTGAAAAAGACATGATCAGCTTGGAGTATGTTCACTGGATTAAGAAGCAAGATTGGAGTTCAGCACTTAGAAGACTAGAACAAGTTTAAGCGGGAGATTGTTAGGTGTTTTAAACTTGTTCATGTTATTTGTGTACATAACATTTGTTTAGTTGTTACTTGTAACATTATTTTAAGTGTGTGTGTGGTACTTTGTACGTGTGCATGTGGGTAGATAAGGTCAAGCCTTGCATGCACGCACATAGGAGTGTTTTTAGGAAGTGGTTGCGTGAGTTGGTTACGTGGGGTGTGTTTTATCCTTTATATGTGTGCGTTGTGTAGGGGTTTTTTCATCCAGATCAAATGGATTTTTCCCCTAAGTGAATGAAAAGAGATTTAAAGAAAAGCAGTCTCTCAATTCCCTTTTGTTTGTTCATACACGCATAACATCATTCAGTAGTGTTTCCTGGGCATTCTTATTGCTTACAGGGATGATAGTAGGTTTACATTTAAAGATGGTTGAAGAGAACGTGAAACAGACAACAACAACAACAACAACAACAACAACAACATTACCCCAGTGCCGCAAAGGCTCCCCCCGATAGGGAAGGGGGGTCAAATGTATACAGTCTTACCCCTGTACTAAAGCCAGAGAGATTGTTTCTGGATGACCTATGATAAAAATCACATCGAAAATTGCATGGACTGATTGTTGTTTCATATCAGAAAGACACAGACAGTTTAGTGAGTCATTTTGCTTTATTCCATCCTATTCCCAAACTAAAAAATAATGAGCCTTTGGCTCCATTGGAAATGATGAAAAAGAACGTGAAACATACAACAACATGTCAACAACAACATGTCAACAACAACAACATTTCCCTAGTGTCGCAAAGGCTCCCACCTTCGATGGGGTAATGAGGATCGGATGTACGCAACCTTACCCCTCTACTAAAGGGGAAAGGGACTGTTTTTGAATTACCCGTGATGAAAACTCATCAGAAATGCATTTAGAGAAATTATTTAACGAAACATATACATATTTTCTACACTAAAACTAACAAATAGAGATAAACCAGTAAAACACATATCAACTATCCACTCCAAAAATCCCCCAAACCAGCTTACCAAATGCGAGCATAGTTTTCTTGAATCTCAAGATCACCTATGTTATAAAATGTTGTTGGAGTCACATTTGCCCCTTGAATTGCATCATAACTTGGTCTTTTTTCCATATGTGCTTGTGACAACTACAAGGGAGAAAAGCAACTCTTGAACTATACTCACCTCTAGTATAAAATATAGTAAGTTTTATGATACATTTCTTTTAAGGGTGTGTTTGGATCGAGGGGAGGAAGGGAAGTTCTCCTTTGGTTTGGGAGGAAGGAAAAATAGAAGGTTGGGATGATTAACTCCCATTCCCTCACTATGGACCAAACACACCCTAATAGATATTAGATAGCATTATCTTTTTCAGTTTTTTTACTATACACACGGGTCAAATAAGCCTTTCAACTCTTCGTAAGAGATCAAATCAACCCTTGTACTGATATAAGCGTCACATGAACATGACTGCTCATAAGAAACAATGAATTAGGTCCACAAACCTGCCAAAGTAGGTAAACTGCTTGTGTGGATCTTTTAGTTTCCAAAGTAGAAGACTCATCAATCACCATCATCGTCTTCTTCCAAACATCTGATTTCCCCATATTCTTTTCCATACTTTTTTTTTCTAAGAAGTCGATTTCTTATCTCACGGTTGAAGTGAAGATCAATGGTTCAATAGTTCTTCTTGCATGTTACTCGAAAAAACTAAATATGTTAAAAATGCATATTCAAATTTGGGCAAGACAGATCACTCTTTTAATGTTTCCTGGCTCATTGCATTAAGAAGTTGTTCTCTTCACCTGATCTGATTGTTTCTGATCTGAATTTTTTAAGTTCTGATCTAATCTGATCTGAATTTTTCAGATCTGATCTGAATTTTCTGATCTGATCTGAAACTTTCTGGTCTTATCTGATCTGAATCATTCTGATCTGATTTGAATCCTTCTGATCTGATCTGAATCTTTCTGATCTGATTTGATGTGAATATTTCTATAATTATTATAAATGTAATTATAATTATAAATACAATTTAAATATAATCATAATTATAAAATAATTATAATTGAAATTAAAATTATAACTAAAATTAAAATTAAAATTATAATAATTAAACTTATTACAATAATTATAATTATAGCTATAATTATGAATGTAATTACATTTTTAATTATAATTATAATTATAATCATAATAATTGTAATTACATTATAATTATATTTATAATTATAATCATAATTATATTTATAATCATAATTATAATTACACTTATAATCATAATTATAGATATAATAACAATTATAATTATAGCTATAATTATAATTAGTGTACGACGACGACGAAGACGACGACGACGACGATAATAATAATAATAATAATAATAACAACAACAATCCTAATAATAATAATAATGACCATAATAATGAGCATAATAATCATAATTATATCTGTAATTATAATTATAATTATGATCATAATTATAATTATAATCATAATCATAATTATAATCATAATCATAATCATAATTATAATTATGATCATAATTACAATTATAATTATCATTACCTATAATTTTAATTAGTGTATTAGGTATAATAATTATTATTATTATAATTATATTTATAATAATTATTATTATTACTATTATAATTATTATAATTATAATAAAAGTGATTAATCATGTGTGAACTTTTTTTATCTGATCTGTATGTTTATGATATGATCTGAATGTTTCTGATCTAGTCTGATCTGAATCTTTCTGATCTGATCTGAATGCTTCCGATCTGATCTGAATTTTTCTGATCTGATCTGAATAAAATATGAATAAGCAATAAGTAATAAGAATAAGACGAACATAACAACTTCTAAGAAAGCATTATACTTGAATAGTGAAATTAGGGGCCTTTGAAGCATGTATAGCCATCAAGACAATTTCATATAAAAATCATGTGTTTCGGGTGTGGTCACCAACTCACCAGGGCTTGGGTTTCCAGCTTGTCATTATTGGCCTTTGAGGCTGCCCGATTAGCAAGAGTAAGAAGTTGTTCTCTTCAGCTTATTCTTATTACTTATTGCTTATTCTTTTTTTATTCAGATCAGAAAAATTCAGATCAGATCAGATCAGATCAAAAGCATTTAGATCAGATAAAAAAGATTCATATCAGACCAATTCATAAACATTCAGGTCAGATCAGAATAAGAAAAGTGTATACATGATTTATCACTTTTATTTTTATATTAATTATAATTACTATTATTACTATTATATAATAATAAGTATTAATCATTTTATTATTATTAATAATAATAAAAAGAATATATTAATAATAATATAATAATAATGATAATATAATAATAATACTAATGTAATTATATAATAATAATATAATAATATTATAAATAATAATAATAATAATATATTATAATGATTATTATATTATAGTTATTATTATAATAATATTATTATATTATTATTATATTATTATATTATTATAAACATAATATTTATATTATTTTTATAATTATTATCATAATTACAATTATAATTATAATTATAATTATTAGTATCATTACTAATATTATTAATAAATTTATTAGTATTATTATTAATATTATTATTGTTGTAATTATTATTATTATACGGTGTAATTATATTTATATTTATAATAATTAATTTATTTATAATTACAGAAATAATATTTTAATATAATTACAATTATAAATTATATAAGTAATTATAATTAAAAATATAATTACAATTATAATTGTATCTTTAGTTATAATTTGTTTAATAGGTGTAATTATTATAATTTTAGTTTTAATTTTAACTATTATTAAACTAGTATTATTTATAATTATGATTATAATTATAATTTTATTTAATTTATATTTGTTATTAAAATAATAATTTTAATTACTATAATTATAATTATAATTATAGAAATATTCAAATCAGATTAGATCAGATCAGATCAGAAACATTCAGATCACACCAGATCAGAAAGATTCAGATCAGATCAGATCAGAAAAATTCAGATCAGACCAGATCAGAAAAATTCAGATCAGATCAGATCAGAACTTAAAAAATTCAGATCAGAAACATTCTGATCAGGCGAAGAGAACAGCTTCTAAATGGTGGACATGTGCCATCTTAGGATTGGAAAATTCTTCTATTCATAATCGGAATAAAATTACAATAGGAAGAGCAAACTCTCACGCTCAACTATTAAACAAAATTGGTCTCTAATATCAATCACTTTTCTCAAGTGTTTAAATCTATTTTTCCGATGATACTTAACAAAGAAATAGCTCCCTATTTATAGGATACTGCTGGGAACATCTTCATTGTTGTTCATGTTTCAGCTCATGCCTCTCCATACTCATATTAATGGGTGGATGATGGAAAACATACCATGGTGTGGGAGAGGGAATTGGTTTGGCAGTTGCAGCACTCCTACCAATCTCCTCCTCCAGCTTTTTCTGGAATTGGTTCATTCCAACCATGCTTATACATAGCTTGTACTTTTTGTGTGAAAATACTTTAATTAACATGTCCGCGACTATTTTTATTTGTGTGAATCTTTGAGAGCTTCAATTCATTTTCTTCGATTGCTTCTCAAGTCAGTGAAATCAAACATTGATATGTTTTGTGCGCAAATGATACATTGAGTTCTTGATAAGATCCATAACACTCTGACTATCACAGTAAATGATATATTCTTGCAAAAAGCCAAACTCTTGATAAGTACTTGCTTACAACACCAACAACGTGAGCAGTATTAAATATTGTACACACCATTGCATACATCAAACTTCCAACTGCTAAAGAGTAGGGCACCGCTTTCTTCATCTCTTTTTCTTTCTCAAAAAGATGACAACTTTCCTTACTCAATTTGAAGTGATTGACTAACGGAGTGCTTACAGGCTTGGCACTATCCATGTTGAACCTTTTGATCACGCGTTCAATATACTCCTCTTGTGATAAGAACAACTTCTTTGTCTTCCGATCACGAACAATTTTCATGGCCAAAATTTATTGCACCGGACCTAAGTTTTTCATATCGAAAAACAATTTGCATCAAATTGTTGATGAGGGTCACATCTTGGCTTCTATCAGCATATAATCCATGTAGAGCAATATGATGATAGATTTTCCATCTAGGAACTTCTTCAGGTACACACAGTGGTCTGCAATTGCTCTCATGCATTAGTGCTTCACCATGAATGAGTCAAACTTCTTATACAATTCCTTCGGGGCTTGCTTGAGACCATAGAGGCTCTTCTTTAATTTGCAAATAAGATGTTCTTTTATTGGCACTTTGAAACCCTCAATTGTTCCATGTATATCTCTTCTTTCATATCACCGTGGAGAAATGTTATTTTCACATCCATTTGTTTAAAGTTCAAGGTTCATACTGGCAACCAACTCGAGTACAGCTCAAATCAACATCAATTTCACAACCGGCGAAAAAGTCTCATCAAAGTCAATTCTTTGTTGTTGTTAGGATCATCTGACCATGAGTCTTGCCATGTGCTTCACAATATTACCGTTGACATCTTTCTTCAAATTTAAAACTCGTTTTTTCAAGGTTTTCTTTTCTTTGAGCACTAAGTCATAAGTATGGCTCTTATGTAAGAATTTCATCTCATCTTTCATAGCTTTACACCAATCAGATTTGTTTTGATGAGATTGAGTTTCGTAAAAACTCTCTAGCTCTCCCTCTCTGGTAAGAAGGATCCATTCAGATGTCGGGTATCTTCTTTGTGAAACTATATCACGCGTAGAATGTCGATCATGAGCGTTTTCAGTAATGCCTTCAGGTGAAGGCTCCCCCTACTAAGGGTTTTCTTCATCTTGATCATCACCCATATCTACGAGGTTGTCATTTTCTTGTTCAGCATTATCACTCACTTCCTCATTGTTGAGGGGACGTGCGATGATACACGGACGTCTTCTGGAGCTTGAGATACGTTGTTTGTGACATATATGAGCAAAGTCATGAAATGGTTTTCATCGAATCAACGTTTGCAATTGCGCAATGCCATAGCGCATTATGGCACGCCTCACCTATTTCCAGGTATATTGCGTAAAATTGCACTACATATGGAGGACAGGGTTGTAGCATACGCAATAAAACCTACACAATGAGGCATGCTAAGAAGTACACTAAATGAGGTCTGAGAATTGCGGCGAGCTAGAATATAACTAAATTTAAGTTTTAATTTTTTAGACTCAAGTTATGGTTTCTGAATTGGTGTCTTGTTATTGTTGTGAATCGTGACTTGTTTTTTTGAGAGTATGACTTTTTAAATGCATTTAGTAAGATATTATGTTGAATACGTCATATTTGGTAATTCTAGAAAAATATACATAATGTTTTCTAAACCGTGTGCTTGACATGATCTAGGTGAGCACTTTTTTGCGCCTTGTGCCTCGGGCGATATGAGAACTTTAGTGCCTTGAGTGACATGATCTAGGCGAGCACTTTTTATGCCTTGTGCCTCGGGCGATATGAGAACTTTAGTGCCTTGAGTGCGCGTCACGGCTTTGACTACCTTGGGAGGGAGAGTATACGTGTCGAGGATTGATCTTATAGTGGTTCTCTCCTTCTTTATTTATTTATTTATTTATTTGTTTATTTATTATTCTTTTTTAACTCTTACTATCCTCCGTTCTATAATTCTTGCAACAGTTTGACTTTCACGTTTGCCAATGCACAACTTTGACTGTAATTATATTTAATTATGTATTAGTAAACATTATAAAAAGTTGATATTTTGGAAATTCACATTGATAAGAGTTCAATAACATTTTATACGCAATAATCTGATTATGTATATTAGTAGAAAATCGTGGTCAAAGTAAGATATGTGAATAGTGTAAAAATCACAATGTTGCAAGAATTATAGAACGGAGGAAGTATATTATATGTTAGTTCATGTTAGCGGTTAGCCAATTCCAAACTCTTTTGGGAATAAAACTTTCTTCTTCTTCTTGTTTCAGTATTAGGTTTTTTGTGACTGCCTTGAAACCGTAAGAGGGATTATAAAACCCTTTTCCATTTTCCATCATTCTATAGAAAGAAAAAAAGAAGAGTAAAAGCACACTTTGAGGGAACTTTACTTGCATATTCATTGAGTTACATGCACCAAGGCGTCCGATAATATGCCAAGACCGAATAGTCTGCAGCAAATAAAACCAACCAACCAGGTCAGATGGAATCCCTTGCAAAAGCATAAAAACAGAAGCACAAATTACTTACGTTACAAATCAATGAGACATCCTTCTCCAATGGGGAGTTGTAGAACTCAAACCATATGTATGAGTTTGTAAAATCAAATCTACCAATGCATAATAAGACGACCACATAATTTAGTCAAGGATAAACTTATAAATCTTCCCAACTCATTAATTTGCATTTAAGAAAGGGATGGGGGAAAGAACTTAGATGCTTCTAGAGATAGAGATCAGCCGCTGTTAGGCAAGGGGATTTGGACAACAATGTTTGTATCTTACCATTAGAGTCTGCCTACATCCAATATTAAACATATGAATGAGTGAATTCATGAGCTTTTGTATCAAGTAATAGTAGACCAGCAAACTGATTCGAATCCAATTTCTTAATATGGCTTGGCCTAAGTACATTTGAGCTATCATCATCCAATCAGGAACTCTACCCTCTAATTCTTTAATCTCATGAGTGAAAATGCATTATTGGTGTCTCCAAACTTACTGGTTGAATTTCACTGCCATGGGTATAGGCGAGCCAGTCTTTGATTGCAAAACATTGTTCCTTTTCTTTCTGAACCTTTCATCAATCTGTGGATTTATATATAGAGAACGAAAGAAAGAAAAAGCAGGGTATATTGTGTTAAGCAAAGACTATTGAGTATATATAAAAATATATAGGGTGCGGAGTATGATTGTTGCAGAAGAGTAAAATCAAGCGGACCCAAACCCTGCTAATAAGATCCAAGCTCAGGTTACTTACTTTGGACTTGGCTTTTTCTGGGTCAACGATGAGGCTTCCAAGAATCTCACCAAACTCGGGGTCCCTATCATAATCCTTCCCAACACCTTTTCTTCCTCCGAACCCATCTTCCTCGTCGTCGCCAGAGGAAATGTTCGATGACTTGCAATCTGCTTTCCAGCTATGGGTGTTGCTTGCTTTGGCGGTGGTCGGCTTTCTGCTTTGTGAAGGTAGTAGTCGGAAAGGACAAGTGAAGGCGGGGGATTGCAGCAAGGTCAACATTGCTGCCCGCCGCGACCTACTTTTTGTTGATTTGCCCGATCAACAACGACAATCTTTGGCAGCCGGCCAGTCTATGTTTAAAACACCGAGCCACCCGGCCACATCACAAGCTAACCCGGTGGATGCGAGAAACTCGGTTAACAATTACGTGGTATAAAAATTTAAAGCACTCTCCTAATATTCCAAAATACTGTATAATTTTGATTCCATTAAATATATATATTGATATTTGTTAATTATATTGTACATAATACATAATTTGGCATGATTTTGTTTTTAAAAATGGGACATGATCCAATTAGATTGTTGTCTCTTATGGATTTTGTTCTATGACGGTTCTTTCCTGGGCACTGGTGCTCCGGAGTGGTTTGTCTCTCTCGATGTGGGGAGTTCCGTTAGTGTCCCGGCTAGTTTCGTCTGGTCAGAGTTTCTGTCTGCTTTCTTCTAGAATGCGTAGACATTAGTAGATCTTGTCCGCATCCAAATTCACATACGTGTCATAAAGAGTTTTGTGAAAAGACTTTATTTCAATTTTATTTTTCTATTAATAGTACTTGTTTTTATTTTAGTTTCAGTAGGTTTGGTTTGGAAATGTGGAATTCTGGTTTACGTTTGATAGACAGTATTTCCGTTTCGTGTCTAATGAATCAGGTTGTTTTGTATGAAGTGACTGATTTTATGTTTATTCTCATGACTTACAATCAGATCTGTCAGAAATATCTACATGTTATCTTGTATCTTTTCTCAATTTTAATATAAAGTTGATCCTTTATATTCAAAAAACAATTTTTTAAAATGAAAAAAATGGTAATTTAAAAAAAAATCAAAACAGGGTTTCCGGGTTTGTTTGGATCCCAGGTGTGGACTGGGCTTTCCCGGGTCAACCGTGTTTTTCCGGATTTTAGCAATTTTTGAGTTTTTCACTAACCGAATCGGGTTTTGGTCTGGGTCGACCGGCCGATCCGGTTCGGTTGTTTAAACACAGGTTCCGATTACTCGGCATCACTACCCCGTGTATTTTTGTAATAAGTTGCAATTTAATTGTAGTGTATGTTTGCTATATATAAGTGTTGAGATTGAATGGGTTTTAGTTTGAATTTGCCCCGAGAAGAAGAGTGCAGAAGAGAAAAGTGGGAGCAAGAATTGAGAGTATTAAACGGACATTAATTTGAATTCACCTCAATTTATTCTTGTGAACACCATTGCTAGTTTGGATTATTTTTGTGGACACTCTTAGTAAGGATTGTTATTGTAGAATCCTTAAAAGTAGGAATTATTCTTATAAATTTCACCAAAGATATATAATACTAGTCGGGGGTAAATCATACCAACTATGGTCAGGCTCTACATAGCTAGTTGGGATAAAGCATGTGCAACTCTATTTGGTGATTGACAAACAAATTGGACATCTTTCTATATACAAACTGTCGTGGAAAAGCAGTACACACTACAACAATATTGTTTTTTTATAGCATAGAAGCATAGCGTTTCTATAGAGAATGTTATAATTGAGCTGTTCTTTGTTTTGAATAGTTCTACCAAATTAATTAAACGCTATTGCTAGATAGAGTGGAGAAATAAGATACTGGGCGGGTATATTAAATGAAGTCGGCCTTTAGGTTTGAAAGAAAAATCAGACCAGCACCCCACATTTTCACTATCTTCTCTCTGGCTTTCTCGTTGCCGCCATAGTCGATTCACCGTCATAACGCAGATCCAAATTCTCCACTCAACTGCCTATTGCGATTTGCGAGGATTCATACCTATTACTAAACGTTTCAATCGTCTGTTGTAAGTTGTAAGATTCACTTATATCCATTTATCTCTGTTCTCTAACTTCAAATCGATTTTTCTTCCATACTTTATTTCGATAGTTACAAATCTTCTGGGTTTTTTTTTAACCCGGAAGGCAAACCACCAAAATCAGTGGGGCAAGTGCCGGGAGTCAGTTGCCGATATTTTATTAAGAATGAAGTTTGTTACAAAAGGAGGAAAACCTCAAAAAGCCAAATACCAGAATAATAAAATTTGGGGGGACTAAACCTGACCCAATAAAGGAAAAAGATTATCCAAATCTAAAATAACTCAGGCCTAATTTGTCAGCAATAAACGCACGTCTAATATAATTAGGCAAACACCTGAAGTTGTTAAAACTTGTCTGATCGGCCAAATTTAATTTAGAAATATAGTGCGCAGGCCAATTTATCTCCCGAAAAATATGTCTGAAGGATAAGCAATTTTCAACCATCCATCTTCTTAGGTCGAGAATCATCTTCTTCCATCTTCCCTCCAGACCGTCACCCAGAATGGCTTCGATCGCTAGCTTTGAGTCCATTTCAACCTCAAAATTCCGATATCCCATATCAATCGCCCAGGACACAGAATAGTGAGCCGCAGTAAGCTCTGCCTCCATAGCCGAAGAGACTGAGATAGGAAAATGCAGAGCAACTTCAAACTCACCTGTTCGTGTTCGAATCACAGCTCCTCCTGCCGCATGAACGAGACTGAACTCAGCATCAATGTTCATCTTGAAGTCAAAAACAGGTAACCTCCACTTAATAATTCGAATTCTTGGCCTGATGGATGTAAACGATCTGGGTATTAACCGTTCTTCAAAAAGAATTGGATTAATATTGCCAAATTTGAGTTTACTCAAAGATGCATCAGACCAAAGCTGCGTATAAGATTTAATTTGCTGTATAACAGTCTGAGAATTAGGGATATCATTCAAGTCACCCCATCGAGCCTGACAATAGATTTTCCATAGATGCCAGGCTACAATTCCTGCCATATTATGCTTAAAGACATCCAGTAAAGTTTTAGTTCCCGCCTCGAGCCACCAAGCAATTAACATTTGTCTCAAAGAAATCTGATTAGATAAAATAGGAATTTCAAAGATTCCAATAAAATACCTCCAAATGCCCCAGCTAAAAGTACAACTAAGAAGAACATTGTAGGAAAGGTTGTCAAGTTAAATCTTTTCAAGTTATCAGGAAATGGGAGAATTCTGTTGATACTCTTCCATTGAAAAATCTGAATCTGACTTTGTTGGTGCTTGTTCCAGGAATGTCTGAAAGAGAAAGTTGCATTTCTGGATCTCCTGAGTTGCTGGAAAGCTGAGGAGAGAGTGAATCTTCCATGACCTTCAGGTACCCAAATTAGCTGCCCATCATTATCCTGCACGCATAGTGACTGGCCTAGATTGTGAACCTTACAGATTCTCTTCCAAATAGCTGAATCCTGAGGTTTAGGCATCATATTGAGACCTCTTGGGTATCTACTATGACAGAATTTTGCCCAACTAGATCTCCCAATCTTCCAATTCCACCAAAGCTTTAGAGAAAAAGCTTTTTTTATATCAACCAGGGATCTTAAACCTAAACCACCTTCCTCATATGGCAGGCATAAGTCTTTCCATCTTGCCCATTGATATTTGTTTTTACTAGCATTGGAACCCCATAAAAAATGTGTCATTCTTTTTTCGAAGTTTCTACTGACTGCTTTTGGTAGGGTGTCAACAGCTAATAAATGTAAAGGCAGAGTGTTAAGAACATGCTTAATGAGCACTAACCTGCCACCAAAACTAAGATGACTTTGTTTCCAAGTTGACAATTTCTTATCAAAATTTTGGAAAATTCCTTGACAATAATTCTTTCTGTTTACCCCTTTATGCAGGAAAGAACCAAGATATTTCATGGGCAAGTTGGTTTTAGTCATCCCAAGCAATCTCTCCATATTTCTAATTCTTGCAAGGGAAGTTTTCCCACAAGCAAAAGCGCTTTTGTCAAAATTAATAGCTTGGCCTGATGCTTTTTTATATAGTCCCAAAAACCTTTTAAAATTCAAAATAGACCTGGCTTCCCCATTTAGAAATACTAAGATATCATCAGCAAAACATAGATGAGTAATAGAATGCCCATCCGGACCAATCCAAAAGGGTTTGATGTTATTGACAGAAGCCAGACTATTCAATCCTCTAGACAGGGCTTCTGTTGCTAAAATGAAAAGGTAAGGAGAAAGAGGATCCCCCTGCTTTACTCCCCTTTGTGGCTGAAAAAAGCCCTTTGGAGTACCATTTACGAGCACCGAAAAATGAGTTGACTTAAGATGATTCATCACCAACTTAACAAAATCAGTAGAGAAACCAAATTTAAGAAGAATTGCTTGTAGGAATTCCCAAGATAATCTGTCAAAGGCCTTAGCCATATCCAGCTTAACAATGATATTAGTACCCCTGACTTTCCTATCAATAGAGTTGACCATTTCTTGTGCCATCAGAATATGCTCAGAGATATCTCTCCCCTTCATAAAGCCAGCTTGCTCAATAGAAATCAATTTGGGGAGAATAGACACAAGTCTGGAGACTAGAACCTTAGTGCACACCTTACTAATAAAATTAGAAAGGCTGATAGGCCTGAAGTCAGAATAAGCAGAGAAATTATCCCTTTTAGGAATTAAAACAATTAGAGCACTAGCCATTGCCTTGGGAATAGGGTTCCCTAGAAAGAAATCATGGACAGCCTTGACCACATCATCACCCACGACTGACCAACAATGTCTGAAAAAAACTCCATTGAAACCATCAGGACCAGCAATGCTATCTTTATCTAATTCCCAAACAGCCTTTTTGACTTCTTCAGATAGTGGTAGAAGCATCAACATGTTATTATCATTATTCTCAACTAGCCTAGGAATGTATTGCAAAATAGAATTCATATCTTCAACCTCTTCTTCTGCAAAGATATCTTGAAAGTAGTTTACTGCAGCATTCCCAATTTCCTCTGGCAACGTACACAGGTGCCCAGCAGAGTCTTTGATAGCAGATATGTTTTGCATTCTTCTTTTAACTTTGACATAAGCATGGAAGAAATTTGTGTTTGCATCCCCCTCCTTTAACCATTTGATGCGAGCTTTTTGCTTCCAAAATTCAGCTTCATGTTTAAGTCTGGAAAGTAGTAAGGCTTGTTTATAAGCCCAGTCCTCCCTATTTGCATCTGAGGAGTTTGATTCATATAAAATTTCAGCCTCAGAAACTTCTGCCTCCAACTTTTTAATATCTTGAAATAAATCTCCAAAAGTGTCCTTATTCCACACTTTGAGAACTCTTTTTAAGAATTGTAGTTTATTGCATAATCCCCTCATACCACCAATAGTAGGGACTGATCTCCAT